GAGCAAATGGAACTGAACCCCGCTCATCTGATGGCAGAAGAGATGTGGGGGTGTCTCCCCTTGGACCTGTGGGGTCCGATTCTTCCAGGGCCCCTCTGTTCCCCGTTCTAAGTGTGGAGTCCTTAGAAGCTGCAGGAAGCTTTCCAGGTCCCCTGGAACTGGGAGGTGATGAACGGGTTCCTTCAACAAGCGTCTGCGGAGGGAGCTGTGGATTGCCAGGCCCCTAGGGCAGGGACACAGCAGGAGATGAAATAGACACGGAGCCTCCCTTCTAGAGCCTCCACTCCAGCGGCGGGGACAGATCCTGGCTAACACACAAGCCAAACCCTGGATGGGAGCGGAAGCCAAGCAGTGGGCAGGGGGGCTGAGCACACCTCTTAGGGTCTCCCAGGACCAGAGAGGGTTTCTGGTGTGGCGTGGCCCTGGAAGTTTCTTCCCTGTGGATCGGCTACCCTCAGGGGTTCCTGATGACAAACTCTGGTTTCTGGGGTCTCACCTGTGCCCCTGTGGGGCCCCGGGCACTGTGCTGAGCGAGATGCAAAGAGCCCCAAGTACTAGCTCCCCCACCCCCCCAAGAGTGCATCTGGGAGGTGAGTGTGGACAATGGTGAAATCACCCCTGTAAAGGGGTCGGATCTGAGGATGGGTGTGGACCCCGCAGGCCCAATCTGGGGGTTCAGGCCCTGAGGCACTGGAACCAGGGTCTACTCTCTGCTGCTCCTCCTCCACGGTCTGGGGTGGGACAGGGGAGTTGGGAGCCACCTGGATAGGGTCATGTGCAGGGGGCAGGGGGGCATCTGGCTGCGGCCAGGACACCTGGCTTTGAGTCGCCATTGCCACTCCACAGCTGCGTGCCCTGGGTGTGTCCCTTCACCCTCCGAGTCTCAGTTTCCTCATCTGTAAAGTGGGGACAGCTCTTCTTGCCAGGTGGGTGTGCAGAGTGGAAGCCGCGAGACCCCGGAGACAGAGGAGTGTGAATCGAGACGGGCTTGAGTGTGAAACACTCAGCAGAGTTCAGAGACTCGGGACCGAAAACAAGCAGAATGTCTCTCACTGGCAATTCTTCAGTACTGGATTTGCATGTGAAAGTGATAGCGTCTTGCTTTTATTTGGGTAAATAAAATATTTGATTAAAATTAATTTCTCTCATCTCTTTTTTTACTTCTGCTAATGTGACTCAGAAAACTTCTAAATGACGTTGGCTCACGTTACATTTCTATTAGGCAGCCTGGTCCAGAGCATGGGCGACAGGCTGGAACCACTTGGCAGTTTTAGAAGCCACTGACCCCTCCCTAGAGGGTCTTATTTAACTCTCCTGGGGTGTGGCCCAGATAGTTGATGTTTTCAAAGCTCTGCGGGGGTGACTGTTCTGTCATCAAAGTCTGGGGACACATGGAAGTTGTGGCAAGTTCCCACAGTAGGCGTCCCTACAACCCCAAGGACAAGCTTGAGTGTCCGAGATCCTGTGTGCGGGTGGGCAGGGAAACAGACTCTGGGGGCGCCTGCTCGGTGCTCCTGTGTCAGGGGTTGCACCCAGTACCCTGTGTAACTGCTCCAGCTACCCCCTAGGGTAGGGATGATGCTACCCCCATTTTACTGATGAGGAAACTGAGAGGGGAAGTCACTTCCCACAGTCACATGCCTAGGAAGCAGCAGACAAGGATTTGAACCCGTGCTTTCTCCACCACACACCCTCGTGGGGAATACTGTGAGTCCCAGCTCACGGAAGCAACCAGAGTTTACGAGCTCATGCTCCTCAGGGCCCGGGGCAGGGCGAGGAAAAAGTAATAAGGTGGCCAAGCACGTGGTTCAGGGGCTGGTATGGTGCAAGTACCAGCAAGGGTGTGACTTCTATCATTAACCTAAACCATCACCATCACCCCCGCCATCACCATCGTCACCACCAACACCATCCTCAGCAGCATCACAGAGCTGTGGTCAGTGTTCCTGGCTTTCTGCCTTTGCAGGCTAGCTGTGCACAGTCTCAGCTGAAGAGTGTACAGAGGCCGGTGGGGCAGGAGGAAACGTAATGAGATTCTTAGGAAGGCTGATATTTAGAGGGAGGGTGGGGTAAACTCATCTTCTGGATTCCAGTTCCTAGCCCCAGTGATAATTAGATCAGTAGGGAGCAACATGGGGCCTCTGACTGTATTCCTGATTGCCCTTCACTTCTGCTCAGGGAGAGCAAAGCTGTTATTTCAGGGGAGATTTGATGAGAGTTTTGCCATAAGATACTTGCTCTTTTGAGAGAACCTCAGTCCTGGGCATCTTCAGAAATGGCTCCAGGGCCGTGGACTTGCTGGGTGTTGTTCTCAGAAATAAGCAGAGTTGTTCCCAGAATTCTAGCACTTTCTACTTCATCCATGGGAAGGGCAGCAATTGCAAAACTTGGAGCCTTCTGAGGAGTGCCTCATGGAGCTGATGAGGAAACTGTCACTGTGAAGGGTTCAGCCTGGAGGAGCGGTGGCAAATGAGCATAAAATGAGAAGCCAGAAGATCAGGGTTCCAACCAGGCTTTGCTTCCTCCAACCATGCATCCTAGCTTCCTTGGTGGCTCAGAGAGAAAAGAATCTGCCTGCAATGCAGGAGACCCGCGTTCCATCCCTGGGCTGGGAAGATGCCCTGGAGAAGGGAATGGCTACCCACTCCAGTATTCTTGCTTGAGATTCCCAAGGACAGAGGAGCCTGGTGGGATATAGTCCATGGGGTCACAAAGAGTTGGACAAGACTGAACAACTAACACACGCACATACACACCATACATCCTTGGGCAAGGCTCTCTTTGAGCCTCCGTTTCCTCATTAAAAATGAAAATAACAATATATTGATCTAGATGTGACAGGGTTCTTGTGAGGACCAACAGGGAAAAAAAACTTCTGAATTTAAAGCTCCAGTGTTAATTAACTACCCCATTAAAAAACCTGTATGTATTATTCAAGCTGCTGTTCAGTAGAACTCACTTGTGCTGAAAATGTTCTGCATCTGTGCTGCAGTCACAAGCAACCATGGTCTCAGGAGGGCAGCCAAACATCTCCCTGCCGGAGCCCAAGGTGACTGCCACAGCTCCGGTTCTCACATCCAAGCACAACTTCCTATCATATTCTGTGACTGGAGAGCCTGTGATTCATGGAGTTGCATGGAAAAGCACATGCAATCGTGTCAGAACCTTCCAAAAACAACCTGTGAATGTCTGTATGACAACATGCCTTCCGTTTCCTAACTTTCTGCAGACATTAAAGATGCTTTGTAAAATATTGAGGCTGATTTGGGGACTCGGGACATTTGGGTCTGACAGCCCTGCTCTGCAGAGGAGGAAGCTGACCCTCAGAGATGAAGGACGCTGCTGAGGTCGTCCATGAATCCTCCTGCGACAGGCTTAGATGTGAGGGTCCAGATGGATGGCACGAGATCAGCTCAGGCTTCCTGCCTCCTGTGTTAACAAAAATGCTCCCTTCTCTGAACTTCTTGACTGGTGTGACCCGAGGCTCTTCCCTAAACTGTTAACCAGAGTGCATCCATCAGGAGAAAGACACAGGAAACTGCTACTTGGGCTCAGGGCGCGGAAAGGCTGCGTCTCTGGGGTGCGGGCTCCCTCTAGTGGATAATCTTAGAATTGCATGATGTTCCCTCAAGGTCCTCAGCAATTTCCCAAGTGAGCCTAAGAAACAACTGAGGAGCTTGCTAAGATGCAGATTCCGGTGCCCTGTCCTCAGGCGTTTGGATTCAGCAGCTCTGGGGAGGGCCTAGAAATATGCATTCTGACGAGCATGCAGGGTGATGTTGACCACACTGGGAACCGCAGCTCCCTGGCCGTTTGAGGTCAGGGAGAACACCAGGATGCCCGTGGAGTCTGACAACTTGGGTTGCTAGCCTTGCTTTGTGGCCTTGGGTGAGGCACGTGCCCTCTCTGGGCCTCTGCTCTCACTGCATAAGCATAGCAGGTTGGATCGGAGAGGGAGGAACAAGATTTGAAGAAACCAGTTACTTATTAACTGTAGACTCTGTCCTTCTGGCCCTCTATCTCCTTGCTGTGAAATAAGTACAACAAACTTCTTCCTGGATTCTGAGGGCAGCCATGCTCCTGGATGCTCACATGCATACGGGTCACTTAGGATCTTGATAAGATGAGAGTCCTAATGGAGTTGGTCTGGGCTGGGGCCTGAGACTTTGCACTTCTAATCGGCTCCCAGGGGAGGCCAGTGCAGAGGCCAGAGGGGTTAAAAGACCAAAGGAGACAGTACAGGAAAAAGGTGTTCTGTGAATTATAAGGTTTTATCATTGGGGAACTGTCTTCCTTGGTTGAAGAGCTTGCGAAATGCTCGTGGAGACTCAGAGAGCAGACTGGCACTCTAAATTAGCATATAAACTAAGCACGGTGAATTAGCATATTAAGTTTGCATGCTAATCAGCGTACTGGGCTTCCCTGCTGGCTCAGATGGTAAAGAATCCGCCTCCAATGCAGGAGACCCGGGGTTTGATCCCTGGGTCAGGAAGATCCCCTGGAGAAGGAAATGGCAACCCACTCCAGTATTCTTGCCTGGAGAATCTCATGGACAGAGGAGCCTGGTGGGCTATGGTCCATGGGGTCACAAACAGTCGGACACAACCGAGTTGACGCACACACCACACACATTAGTGTATTAAATAAGCATATTAGAAACAACGCCCCCTGGAGGCAGCTCCGGGCTGCTGCCTGACCAGCTTCCTCGAGACACCTGCCCTCCCTGTGCTAGGGACATCCTGCCCGGCGCCTCCTCCTCGCCCTGTAGGTCTCAGCTTCCTCCTCCAAGCCTCTGTCTTCCATGAACGGATGTGGCCACACTCCCAGCGCCCTGAATGTCCCCATCACTGTGCTGGGTCTGCCTTGTGTAAGAATAGAGACTGGCCGTGTCGGAAGATCACGCCGTGTCCCGGGGCCGGGCTTATGGGGCTGAAACACAACATGTGGGTCAGTGAAGGAATGAGTGGGTGGGGGAGGGGGGGGCGAGACAGGTCTTGTGGATGGAGGGGACAGGCCACGAGGACTCAGACCCCTGCAGGAAGTTGATTCTTGACCTGTACACTCGGATGCAGTGCAAAGAGACCCGGGATGAAACTAGAGGTGAGGACGCACACAGGCACACACAGGCACATGTGGTGAACATGTGCGGATTCGCCTAGAACTTAACGTGTCAATCAAGAGACCTGAAAATCACGCAGCTTTGGAAAGGTTTACTTGGCTACCTAATCTTTGAAAAAAAATGTAATTTTCAGATTAGCAGATTCAGAAAAGACAAACACTCCCTGTTAAGGCTGAGCCCAGAAAGAAAGAAACCTGGGAGAGACCTGGGGGAGCATCTCAGCTCCCACTACCCCACCAGACGGGCTAACAAACCAGGCTCCAGAGACAGAGGACGAGGCTTTGAGTCCCAGCTCTCCCACTTGCCAGCTGTGTGCTCTCGGGGGAGCTGTTCCACCTCTCTGGGCTCCCCACCTTTACCACTGGGACAGAGAAGTGTCTCCATCCTGAGGTCGCGTGGAGGCACCATGAGAGGCGATGCAGACAGAGCCCTCACGGGGTCCTGGCGCTCAGTCAGGGTCCGACAAGTGGGAGTCATTATTGTATTTCTTGTTATTGCTCAGTGGAAAGCCCGCCTTGACTTCAAGGATGGTTTCATTGGACGATACTCAATGTGGAAACCAAACGGGTGCCTCTGGGACAGTAGAAAGGATGGCAGGACAGGAGAGCTAGCTCCAGGTGGGGCCAGTGCCTCTGCTCCCGGGACCCTGAGAGTGGCCACCTCCTTGGCCTCAGGATCCCCACCCACAACACGAAAGGGGTGGAAAATGGCCACAAAGCAAAGGGCAGGTGATGCCAAGTGCTGGCAAGGATGGGGAATGGCCAGATCTCACACCAGGTGGTGGGAGTGCCATTTGCGACCAGGTTTGGGAACCCCGTTGGCCATGGTTACTACAGCCATCCCCCCGTGACCCAGCACCTCCCATCCTGGGTGAATGCTCAAGAGATGCGTAAACAGAGGTTCTCCCAAAGACGTAGACAGGCCAGCTCACAGCAACGCCGCTCCTTTCAGACAGAGCTGGGGACCGCCCTGGTGCCTGTGACAGTGTAAGCCCTAGGCTGCATGCGTGTGCCAGGCTGGGCCGCCTGCGGCTTCCGGTGATGCAATGTTCAAGACAGGGCCCCGACTTCAAAGAGCAGACACTGGGTGATTCTAAGTGTTAAGATGTCAAGTGCAGCAGCAGGCAGAGCAAAGGGTCTGCTGTTAGAAGTCAGGAGAGTGGTCACCTTTTGGGGCGCGGGGAAGGGAGCAGGAGATGTTAAGGGTGCTTTTCCTGCCTTGTATGCTGTGTGTTACACTCCAGTAACACGTTTACACTGAAGCAGGGAAGGGTCCGAAGACAGGGTTCCAGGGCCATGCTGGCTCTGCTGCCCCAGGCTTTCTCATCCCAGCCCTGCTTCCTTCTTTCAGCCCCCTGGGGAAAGGTTCCGGCGGGAGGGAGGGGACTCCTCGCTTGGGGTTTGGCAGCTCCTTCCGAGGTCACGCCAAGAGATGTCTGTAGATGGAGAGATGAGTAAAGGCTGAATTTCCCTGCAGGGAAGACACGGGTCTGACTATGGTCTCCACAGTGGTTTCCTTGGCGACAAGCTGTTGTCAGAAAAACAGAACAATGTGAGAACACGGCAGGGTCAGGCGAGGAAAGACCCTCTGGGGAACTCACGCACACAGAAAAATAAGAGGAAGCGGTCAGAGTTGGTGGTGCTGGGCAAGTGGCCCTCAGAAGCCGACCCACCTCCCTGCCCACCCCTGGAATTTTGGCGTTAATCAAATGTTTGCAATTCAAATACCCTTTTCTCATTGACAGATGTTAGATATTACAGTCCTCGTGCTGGGCTTCCCACAAAACAATTGCAGGGGTTGTGATGACATAGAAGTGGTCTGCCCCCAGCTTCCCTCAGTTTGGAGGTGAAATATGACCACGTGACGCTTCAAAAAAGTAATCGATCATGTTCAACTTGTCCTTATTTGCTCCAAGCCTGGTGGGTCACCTCTTGCAGACCCTACCTCCATGGTGACCAAGAACTTTGGAATGTTCCTGGCGCAAGGTGTGGGTCAGGCTGCCTGTGGACCGCAGGTGGACAGGCTTGATGCCCCGCCCGTTAGAGCTGCTGCTCTGGCGGTGGCCACAGGGTGTCGCTGTTGAACACGGGGCTCGCACAGCCCGAGGGACTCCTTGCCTTCCCTGGAGGTGGGACCCTCACACACCCCGGGATTGCAACTCTTGCAGTCCACACTCCTGGGCTCAGCTTTGGTTTTCCCAGGTGCAGCACCAGGGAAGCCTGGGTCTAGAGGTGCTTCTAGCCTGGCTAGAGAGGGGATGCGACCACCCCAATGACACACAGCCAAGAGGACCAGACTCCTGAAACACAGACACATTGTGGATATCTTGGAATTGGGAAGCAGACACTTATGCTAAGGAGGTATTTTAGGGATGACAATGCTCCAGCTAAAGATTCCTGCAAAGACTCCCCTCCTCCCCCCGCCCCCAGGGAAAACAAGGATGGAATCTCCACAGGTTAGTAGAAAAACTGGATTTTGAGTTATGCATTTCTGTGTCCAAATCCTGGTCCTGCCACATTCTTCTGTGGGCTCTGGGTAAGCTGTTTCACTCTGAACCTCGTGAGATGGATATCAGAATAGTTCCCACCAGTAAGGCTAGAGCAAGGATGGAGAAGGTGATGCACACAGAGAACCCCATAAACACTTCTCCTCCAGGCGCTTGGCCCCAAACACCCTCCCCTAAGGACTAGTTAGTTCCAGGCTCACCCCAGCTTTCCTGCCCAGCCTGGAATCAGCCATTTCTCCAAGGAGCTGAGGGTCTGACTCTCCTGGTGTTAAAATCTCCCCAGATGATTGTGATGGGACCTGGTGCTGAGAGCTGCTGGCCTGGCCTGGTGGTGTGGGCAAGGGGGCTGTCAATATTCCCTCCCTTATGGTCACAACTATGTCTAGCGAACATTTACTATGTCCTACTGGTGTTCATGTATCATCTTATCTGACCCTCACGAAAAACCCACGTGGATGACTTGTTAACCAGTTTTGCATAGGAAAAACCGAAGGCTCCCAGAATTAGACACTTTGTTGTGTGTGTGGGGGGGTGCTGCACAGTTAGTGGGGGATGGAGGCCAGATTTGAATCAAGGCCTCTCTGCCTTCAGGGTCCCTCCACTTGCCTGTTCTGCCTCTAATTCCTGGCTTTCCAGCCCTAAGAGGGATGAAAATCAGTCTTTCCTACATGCCCGAGCTTGCCCTCCTCATCCCATCCCACATAATAATGTTCCCACTCATTCATTCACTCATTGCTAAGCCACGGGGTGATGAAGCTGAAAGCAGATTTTTCACACGGAGCCATGCAGACCCAGAGCAGACAGTTGGCATGCAGGGTGGCGGGGCTGACTTGGTGGGGTTGCTGAGGTTGCTGGGGTCAGTTGTGGCCGATGGGGTTGGTGAGGCTGGTGGCACCGCCAGGCAGAACTCAGCCTTGGAGCAAAAGGACAGCATGCTTTTCAGACCAGATGCCACAGGCAGAGCCGGGAATGGCTCAGACACAGAGGCAGCAAAGTTACGATCATCTAATTCCCTCCGCACAGCAACAGGCATTTACACTGGCTGTAAATACCTGGAGGACCCAGTGAGAGTGGCCGGTGTGACCCTGGGCAGCTCGGGGTTTCTCCAAGAAGGCGCAACTGCAGGACTAGCCTCCCTGCATGGGGCCTGGCCACGTGGGTGTCTCTTACAGAACTTACCAGGTGTAGCTTTTACAGTTAAAAGGGAACACAGGTTTATTAAGAAGGCCTTGAAGAATACATAAATAAAATGATAAAGCTTCTGTGGCACACTCAAGTTCACTGCTGGTATACTGATGTACTTCCTTCCAGGCCCCACTCATTCATTACTCCACGTGCTTGAATTTTCATTCTGTGTTACGACACAGCCAGTTCCTAATAATAATAATATAACAATATACTGTGGACTGACAGGCACTGCTGAAACCGACCTCCTTGGCTCACGTTGTCCACACCAGGACAGCTGGAAGCATGACCTCTCACCCCTCCTTATTTTACAGCTGGAGTCACCCAGCGGGAGTCAGGTGGCCATGAGGTGGGCAGCCCGGATTTCTTCTGATGCCTCCAACAGCAGCAACTGTGTTCCTTTCTTCTCAAGATTCTGTCTGAAGCTTCCAGGGTGCTGATGTGGTCCCGATTACATCTCTGACAGCCCCGTGAATTTCTTCGGGGGTCCCCCGAGGTGGGGGCTGGCATCAGCTCTCAGATCAGCCAGGACCTTCTGGAATCTTCTGACCTCTGGGTATTGTGTCTTCCTTTCCCCTGGAAGGCCAAGCGTCCAGAGGGTGCCAGGGTGACCCCGCCCCTGGTCTCTCCCCTGCCAAGCCTCCTGAAATAAAGGGCTCTGGCAGATCTGTTGGCGGCTGCCATATCTTAATCTCAGGGCTCCCCGGGCTTGGAGAGACACCTGGGCTCCAGGCCTGTCGGAGGAGAGGGGCCGGCTGCCAGCCAGACCCCCTGTCGGCGGGGGCTTGTCATCCGGCCGGCCTGCTGACACCTCCATGCCCTCCTCCCCGCAGAGGGAGATGAGCAGCTTTCCTGAGGGGTGACAAGGGGCAGAAGGCGTTCTGGCCCCAATTAAACTGTGCCGGGGCTCCTGGAGAGGTGCTGGCGGGCTCTGAGCTCCACGACCAGGAGGGGGCTGGAGGCCTGGGCCCTGTCCTGGGCTCACCCATCAGCCTTTGATTCTGATAACGGTTTGATCTCCAGTGACAGCAGGGGCGGGCCGGGGCGTTTATGGCTCCATTTCCACCAGGCCTTGAATGGAGCTCAGTGGCTCCAGAGGCAACTGATCCTGCCAGGAGGTGGCCTGTGTTTGGCCTCCGAGCCTGCTGGCCTCCAGACCCATGGCTGAGACAGCAAAAGAGGGACATGAGCCCTGGTCTTGGACAACTGATGTGAAAAGACCCTTCCCTGGAGCCACCTTTCTATTGCGTTTTGACTGCTGGTCTCATTTAATTACAGTCACTGTCAGCTGTCAGTCCTGAGGAATCTGAGGCTCAGAGAGGGTTAGCCAGTGGCCTAAGGCAGCCCAGCTAGAAAGCAGAGCTGGGTTTCTGGCACGTCGATCTGACAGTACAGCCTGGTGTCTTCCTAGGATGCCAACACTCCCCTAATGCAGGGGTGGGGGGACTGGGGCTGAGCCCTAAAATACAGACCCCAACTTGGGGGGAACAGGCTGCTTCTAGGCCTTCTGATCATTTACGGGCAGTGCCCACAGGTTCTGACCATTTGCTAATCTCTCTTGAGGTTTTCTTGTTATTGTTCCTTGTTTCAGATCCAATTTTATTATTTTTACCTTTTCCATGTATTAAAAAAATTGAACTAACCTCAGACTTACAGAAGAGCTGCCGGTGTGGAGAACCGGGCCTTGCCAGCTGTCTCCCACCCAACACACCACCCTCCGTGTAGATCAGCCTGTAGGTCATCTTCAGGACGACCCCCAGAAGAGCCACACCCGCAGAAGCCAACAGCGATCCATCCCTGCCGTCTGGGCCTTGGACCCCATCCCGGTCTCACCAATTGTCCCAATAAGTTGCCCTTGACACACTTTCAGAGCACAGGTCCCTTTGTAGAATGCCTCTTAATTTGGTTTCCTGATGAGGCAAATTCTTCTAATAGTTATTGATTTCTTTGGCTGCACTGGGTCTTAGTTGTGGCATGCGGGCTCCAGAGCGCTCAGGTGCAGTGGCTGAGGAACGTGCGCTTAGCTGCTCCATGGCACGTGGGATCTTAGTTCCCAACCAACGGTCGAAGCCTCGTGTCCCCAACACTGGAAGGCCAGTTCTTCACCCCTGGCCACCAGGGAAGACCTGACGTTTCCTGATCAGGTTCAGGCAGGGATGCCACGGTCCTCAGGGCAGTCTGGCAGGGGGTGCCCCAAGCAGGCTCTTCATCGCTTTGTGTAGGAACTCACAGAGCCTTCATGGGAGACCCAGGGTGTGCACGATTACCCCTGTTTTCTCAAATAAGGAAACAGAGGCCCAGAGAGGCTGAATCACTGCCGCAGGTCACACAGCCGGTAAGGGCTGAAGCTTACAGGGGGGCTGAAGCTGGGCTGCATGCACAACTGGCTTGCCGCGCCCGTGTGTTCCCGAGGCGGCCACGCGCGGCGGGAGTGGCCCCGTCCCTGCCAGCCACGCCATGCACCCGTGTTCTACCCTCTAGGCTCTTCTGGGCTGCCTTGGGCCACCCCCACCTCTGTCTTTTCTGCTTCTCCACTGGTCTCTGGCAGAGTTCTCTCTGTGTCTCTCTTCTCTGACCATTTCTCACTGTCTCTCTCTGCCCACATGGGCCCCTGGCCCTCTTCTCTCACAGTGGACCCTGAGGCCGAGGGGAGGCTTTGTCATCCCCACCTCTGGGGGCAGACTGGACCCATCAGAGGTCCCGTCCAGCACCCAGCAGAGACCTGGAGGTCTCAGCTCTTCCCCCCAGGAGGTTCAGGGTTTGTAACTGGACCAGGGCCGCGCATGGCGAAGAAGAGCAGGCTCGGGGATGTCTCCCTTTGAAAACCCTGTTCCCCCCAACCCCTTGGCAGAGTTTATCTCCAGGAGAGCTTAGCGTGTCCCTCCACACATTCCAGGGGAGCTCGAGAGAAGGCACTCCCGGGAGCCCCCGGCATGGGGGACGTGCTGCTGATAAGATGGAAACCCCTCCAGACAGGAGCCCCCAACCCTGCTGTGGAGGATGGCTGGAGCGGTGCCCAGCTGGGTTCACCACTCCCTGCCTCCCAGGACTGCCCAGAGAAGCTGCCCATCTGGGGTCCACTCCTGCCTTCTGGCTGCCCCTGGTTCCAGGGATGTGGCCTCAGCAGAGCTCCTGGGGGGTCAGCTGTGGGCCTCTTTAGAGGATTGGCCCTGAAATGTCCACGGGAGAGACCCCTGGATGGGGAGAGGGATGGAGGAGAGAGAGGGAGGGAGGGGGAGGGAGAGAGAGACACAGAAAGAGAAATAAGTACACAGAGTGGGCCGAGGGCAGAGGGGAGACTCAGGGAGGAGGCCGTGGAGCCAGGGGTGCTGAGAGGCAGGAGGGGAGACAGAGGCACGCACAGGGCTGTGAAGAAACCCACCCGCAGACACGCCAGGGGGACGCGGGGAGGAGAGGGGACGAGTGGGGAGAGCATGGAGACTGGGGGACACACCCCCCACTGTGCTGGGAGCGGAGAGGGGCTCTTCGTTGGGACCAGATCCTCCCAGTCCCTCCTGTCCTGCCTGGAACCGCGGGGGGAGCCTGGGCGGTGGGTGCATACGCGTGAGCCTGTGTGTGCCAGCCCGGGGGATACCTTCCCTGCAGGAACCCCACTCCTCATCGCTAGGTCTGGTCCCCTCCTAGGACCTCCAGCAGGTTGCTAGCTGGGCAGGATGTGCAGGACCTGGCCGAATCGGGGGGCTGGCCCCGCGGGACCCCCACCTCCACGCACCCTGTCACTCACTCTGGTCGCTCCTGCCTGCCCTCCTGAATGCCAACCCCGGGCGCTCCTCCGTGTGGCCTCGCTTCACCGTCCCCAGGGAGTCCTCTTCCCAGGCCTCCAGGCAGGTGTCATGGCGGGCTCCAGAGCAGAGCCCCCTTTCCTCGTGGCACTCTATCAGTACATCTCCACATCCTCATTTTTGAACTGTATCATCCATGAAACCCTGGTGGCTCAGATGGTAAAGCGTCTGCCTGCAATGCAGGAGACCTGGGTTCGATCCCTGGGTCAAGAAGATCCCCTGGAGAAGGAAACGGCAACCTACTCCAGTACTCTTGCCTGGAAAATTCCATGGATGGAGCAGCCTGGTGGGCTACAGTCCATGGGGTGGCAAAGAGTCGGACACGACTGAGCGACTTCACTTTCTTTCTAAGAGGAGAGTGAAAAAGCTGGCTTAACACTCAACTCACTCAGTTCGATCCATGAAAACAAGCAAACAGAGGAACAAGCAAGCTTCCCAGGCTTGGCCCTGGGAATGAAATGGGCTTTTCCAAACCATCCTTGTCACCTGCCATCTGCTCACTGTCCTCAGTCTTGTTGATCTCATTTGTAAAATGGGGACAGTGAGGGTCCTTACCCCGGGGGTGGGGCCTGAGGATGGCTGAGACACACCTGGCCAGCACACCTGGCCGACAAACCAGCACTCGGTACCGAGGTGGGTGACTCCTGCAGCCAGCGGCGGGGACGAAGGCGAGGTCCCTGGGACTTCCTGGTGGAGCTGACATCTCCCGGGCGGCAGGCAGAAGTTCCCAGGCCCCGGGAGGCTGGCCCTGCGGCACTTTCCCCTTCCCCTCTCTAATCCTCTCGCCTTCCAGACAGTGCCTGGAGACTTTGTTCTGCATGTGGTTTCCGGGGCCCTTCGGTGGAGCTGACAAAACAAGGAAATGCCAGCGCAGGGTTCCCAGAAGCGCCTGGCTCCAAGCTGCCCTTGTTCCATCAGCCCGGGGCCGGAGACCAAAGCCGCCTCGCGCTTCTGACGTCTGGTGGCGGGGCCAGGATGGCTTTCCCGCTGCCTGCGCCCCCCCCTGGGAGCTTGATGGCTCGGCTCCCTTTGAAGCTACTGGGAACTCAGTGCCCAGGCCTGCTCTCAAGGATCGCGGACAGGATGAAGCTCTGGGTCCCCAGGGCATGCCCCGGGTAACGGGGACTTCCTGAGTCCACTGTCGGCCAGGAGTACGGGGCTCAGGCCAAGGTCACAGGCAGGTCTGGCTCATGGACGTTCACTCACCCCATCATTCATTCACCCATGACTGTAGCATTTTCTTTATTTCTCTGAGAAACAGAGATAGTGCCATTACAATATCAAAGTCATGACACATTTTATGGGGCTGCTGGGGAAATCAAATGAGACAGTTTATGATTGTGCCCACACACAACAAACACGTGATTATTCAGACATGAAAGGGTGACTAAATGTTCCAACTCCGGAGCCACCAGCCTCTGAAGTTCAAACCCAGGCTCCCCCACCTACTGGTTCTGTGACCTCAGGCAAGTCACTTAACCTCCCTGGGCCTTGGTGTTCTCCCCTGTAAATGGGTATAGCCACAGTACCCATTTTATAGAGTCATTGATGACACACAAGTTAATATTTGCAAAGCATGTGGAAAAGAACCTGGCAATGAGTAAGTGTTGCATTGGTATTTGTTGTTGAAAAAACATACTCATCCATTCCAGAAAGAGCCAGCCATATGGGGCCCTGACCCTCGGTGCAGTGCTTCGCCTGGGGTTTGAAGGATGTCCATTCTCTTTGTGACTGTCAGCTGCCAGGGCACAGGCTCTGCCTCTGTCAAAGGAGGAGTAACTCCTAACAGCCGATCCAGAGGAATCTTTCTTTTTAAACCACATTCTTGGTCTGAAGAAATGGATGCTCAAGTTGGTAATGTGAGTTGTATAGGGCCCATAGTGAGGAAGCACTGGTGCTGTTGCCAGAACCTATGGATCTCGAGACCATGAGGCTAAGTGACTCAAACAGGTGGCCAAGTCAGAGAGGGGGAAGCAGGGGTTGAGTTCAGTAGTATTGGCTGACACAACAGAGGATTTGATTTATTGATTCATGTAAGGAATGTTCTGGAGATGGGGAGAGCATCGGTGTTCATTTGGTTTAGCACTGGATGGTATTACCAGGACCCAATTTCTTTATTTCTGCAGTGTTAGCTCATTAGTGTTAGCTCAAGCTGACCTCCCTCTAGGATGCAAAACAGCTGCAGGAGTTCCAGACATCACACCTAAACACTCTCAATTTACAACAAGGAGAAAGAGCTCATTTTCAGGGAGGCCTCTTCTTTCCCAGAAACCTCTAGCAAGCTCCCTGTCATGTCTCATTGGCTCCAGGTGGATTGCATGCCCATTCCTGGATTCATTGGAAGGACAGACGCTGAAGCTCCAATACTTGGGCCACCTGATATGAAGAACTGACTCATTGGAAAGATTGGAAAGCTGACTCATTGGAAAGATTGCCAATGCTGGGAAAGATGAGGGCAGGAGAAGCGGGCAACAAAGGATGAGGTGGTTGGATAGCATCATTAACTCAATGGATATGACTTTGAGCAAATTCCAGGAGATAATGGAGGACAAGGAAGCCTGGCATGCTGCAGTCCATGGAGTTGCAAAGAGTTAGGCAGGACTTAGCGACTGAACAACAATAGCAGCCAGGGGAAGAGACAGGAAGGGTGCTTATGAATTAGAGGGAGACTGATGTGCCCTATGATTGATTAGTATGCCTGCCATGGGTGATTGATTAGTGATGCCTGCTATGGATGCAGAGTGGTTGCAGGTATGCTATGTTCAGAACAAGTGAATCTGCTTAAGATGAACTGAAAGTTCAGTCAACTGAGCCTTTATCTTAAAAATACAAGCCCTGGGACTTCCCTGGTGTTCCAGTTGCTAAGATTCCACACCCCCAGTGCTGTGGGCTGGGGTTTGATACCTAGATCCCACATGCCACAAGAAGACCTGGAGCAGCCAAATAAATAAATATTAAAACACATACACAAACCCCCAAATTACGAAAATAAACTCATTAAAAAATATGCTGTTTGGGGTTTACCTGGTGGTCCAGTGGATTAAGAATCAATCTGCCAAGGCAGGGTATATGGGTTCAATTTCTAGTCTGGGAAGTTCCTCCATGCCGCGTGTGCCACAACTACTGAAGCCCGTGTGCCTAGAGCCTGTGCTCCACAACAAGAGAAGCTACTGCAATGAGACACCCAAGCACTTCAATGAAGAGTAGCCCCTACTTGCCACAACTAGAGACAGCCCAGGTGCAGCAACAAAGACCCAGCACAGCCAAAACTAAATAAATAAAGTATGCCGTTTAATAAAATTTGATGTGTAATTTCATCCCTAAGCTAATTCTTAGACCAATGCGTACACTGGCTTTGCATAATTTTATAGTTTCTGACTGTGTGGGGGCAACTCCCATCCAGCTGACCGATATGGGGGTTTAAAGACCCAGGACTTCTGCTCATTTGGGGCAGCTCTGAAGGGTCACCAAATCCATGCTGCTCTCTGTGGGGACAACCGAGGTCTGTTCTGAAACAGCGTCCCAGCCCCGCTCCCACCCTGCCCAGGCCTGCCTCTTTCCCTTTTTCTCCCTTCCCAAGAGCTCTGCCCAGCCCCCCAAACCCCCTGCAGACCAGGAGTCAGCCTCCCGGAGCGGGGCCCACCCTGTGCTTTCTAAAGTCTCTCGTGGGAAGGCGTGGTTTTCTCCCTCCTTAGAGGGGCAGGGGAGGCGGGAAGAAAGTCATGGATGGGGGGTGGGGTGGGGAAGGAAGGGAAGGTTTCTGAGCAGCAGCTAAATCCGTCCCACCCTGTTTTCCAAACCCAGACTGGACAACCTCAGGCCAAGTCCCACAGGGCTTCGATCCACCGCTAATTCAGGGAAACCCACACCTCGTGAAAGCCTCTCTCTCTCTCTCTCTCTCGTTCTTCGCTACATTTCCTACCAAAGTGAAACGCTTTCTGCCTCCACCCTGACCTGGCCAGTCCAATTTTCCCTTAATGCTCAATTTCACCTGCCTACTTGTGACACAGGAGCTCTCTATCCTGAGGGAGGGAAGTGCTGCCCTGAGAGGCTGGAGGCCCCCTCCTCCCAGTGCACCCTCCACTCCACCAGGCTCTGCTCTGGGTCTGTTTGCAGAAGGCGCCTGGGACGTCAGGAAGGGACTGCCTTGCTAGCACTCGGCGTTTTTCTAAGAGGCCTTTTCTTATGGGAGTAATTGGAGAGGCCTCATTTCTTCAGGAACGAGAGCCGATGCAATTCAGAGAGGCTTTATTAGGTCAGACAGAGAATGCCAAGCTTGTCCTACATGCTGGCTGCACGGGGATCCCTAATGAGAGGCAGGGAGACGGTCAGGCTCCAGCGGCAGACGCAGCCCCGGGATCAAAGCCTTGACTTCCTCCAAACTGGAGCTCTGCGTGTGCTTGGAGGGCCTCTCTCCTGCTGACACCTGGGGAGAGGCTTCAAAGCTCTCCGGATTCCCAGGGTCGGTGGAGGGGGGAACCAACCTCGAAGGGCAGCCTGTGCCCTGGGCTGACCTCTCTGCTGGGAGAAGAGGAGCTGGCAGCCAGGTTTCTCCTGAAAGCCCCTGCTGGCACCATCACTGGCCCCAGAGCTTGTCTGCCCAGGTTTGAGGAGGGACCCTATGGACATTTCCAGAACCCTCCCGTTTCTCTTGCCTCCCTCGACGGTGCTGTGCCTGGCTGGTTTCCAACGTGCCTGCCCTGGCATGGCTTGCTCCTCAGGGTAATCTCAAGGCCTGTCTGTCCTCTGTGCCACTTGGGCCAGCTAGATGCCACAAGCTAAGGCCAGGGAAGGGGGCCCGGAGGGGGGAATGTCCCTCGGCAGGAGGGAGCCAAGCCATCCTCGACCGCCTGTGCCAGCTCGTTAGAGGAAAACTTCACGCTCGCATGTTGAGTCTGGCGTTTCCCATGTTGTGGTCCAGTCTGCCGAGCTGGAAGGAGCAGGGAAATATCGGGTTGCCTTTTCCAGACTCCTGGACGAGTCCCTGGGCAAGCATTCGGAATCAATCAGAATTGTCCTCCTGGGTCATTTGGCGGGGGAGGCTGGAGCCTGCCCTGGTTTTACAAGTTGTTTTGCTAAACAAGTGTCCTAGTTTCTCAGCTGGAAGGGCTGGAGGCCCAGGAAGTGCCTGCGAGCACAGGCTCTGGGGAAGGGCCAGCTGCAGGTCCTAGGATGCCAGTGACAAGCTGGGCAATGTCCCCACAGCCCTAGGACTCCATTTCCCGTCTGTGAAATGGAGGTCCTGAGGACTTCAATGTCTTAGGGCAGATCGAGGTCAGTGAACAGATGATTGTGAAGATCTGTTGTGGCTCGGGTCCCCCCAGAAGATATATTCAAGTCCTAATCCCTGGTGCCTGTGAATGCAGTCTTTCAGGGACCGTGGTCTTCGCAGATATGATCAAGTTAAGATTAGTTCGGGGGACTTGCCTGGTGCTCCAGTGGCTAAAACTCTGTGTTCCCAGTGCAGGGGCCCAGGTTCCATCCCTGGTCAGGGAACTAGGATCCCAGGGGCTGCAACTAAAGATCCTGAGTGCCACAACTAAGACCCAGGGCAGCAAAATTAACACACAAGTAAACAAATATTTTTAGAAAGGATGAGCTCAGAAGAATTCAGGTGGCCCTAAATCCAGGCTATAGTTATTCAGCTACTAAGTTGTGTCCGACTCTTTGCGACCTCATGATCTACAGCATGCCAGGCTTCCCTGTCCTTCACCAACTCCCGGAGGTTGCTCAAATCCATGTCCATTGATTCGGTAGTGCCATCCAACCGTCTTGTCCTCTGTCATCCCCTTCTCCTCCTGCCTTCAATCTTTCCTAGCCTCAGGGTCTTTTCCAATGAGTCAGCTCTTCGCATCAGGTGGCCAAAGTATTGGAGTTTCAGCTTCAGCATCAGTCTTTCCAGTGAATATTCAGGGTTGGTTTCTTTAGGGCTGTCTGGCTGGATCTCCCTGCAGTCCAAGGGACTCTCAAGAGTCTTCTCCAACACCACAGTTCAAAAACATCAGTTCGGCGCTCAGCCTTCTTTATGGTCCAACTCTGACATCCATACATGAGCACTGGAAAAACCATTGTTTTTATAAGAAGCGGGACATTTGGACGCAGACACACACAGGGAAGACGGCCGTGTGACGACTGAGGCAGAGGTCAGAGTGATGCATCTACAAGCCAAGGATTCCCAACGACGTCAGAAGCTGGAAGAGGCAGGAAGTACCCTCCTGCAGCCTCTGGAAGGCAACCAGCCCTACGGACACCCTGATTTCAGACTTCTGTCCCCCACAGCGGTACCTGGGCCACAGCCCCAGAAAACTCAATGGCGGCTGACCTGAAGCCTGCCCTCTGAGAGCCGGTCACTGATTCTGGCCCCTCCCTGGCCACATGGCCTGTGGGCCTTCAGGGCCTCAGGATGTCGGCTCTGCTCCAGAGCCACGTGGCTCACCCACAGTCCTCCCCATCCACAGGTACCCATGTCTGGGCCTTGTCCAGGGTGTCCCCGGGCTCTGCTGGGCCCCTCCTCCTGGAGATTCGGCTGCCCTCCGACTGTGGGTGCAATGCTGCTACGGATCAGACAGGAGTCCTGGGAAACCAGAGGCATGACTGCAGGAAAACAAGAGTAATGTGTTGTCTCTGAGCCTCGGTTGCATTCCCAGCACCAAGGCGTCTTTCTGGGGAAACAGTCATTCTCACAGATTTGCCTGTAATGAAGGGTCCCGGGGTCACCGCAGATCTGGCTTGAGTTCCAGAGCGCCTTTGGATGTGTCTCCATGAGCCTGTTGTGTCCTCTCGGCACTAGAGAAGTGACCCTGGTGACCCATGAGCTGCATTCTCAATTGTGGTTAATTTTCATTCATTTCAACTTGAAAACGGATATTCCAGAGATTAAGAAAACTCTTAAGGGTGTTTGCATCCACTTGGCGTATGAATCTACATTTTCAACTCTAAGTTTTATGAATTGTAAATACAGAACAAGTATTTTCAGTGAAAATTTACCCTCTGAATTAAGATGTAGAAGTGTGAAATTGCACTTGATTTTGTAGCATGGTGCTTCCCACGTGGTGCCTGTGGTCAAGAATCTGCCTGCCACCGTAGGAGACATGGGTTCCATCCCTGGGTTGGGAAGATCCCCTGGAGTAGGAAATGGCAACCCACTCCAGTATTCTTGCCTGAGCAATTCCAAGGACAGAGGAGCCTGGCTGAGAGGTCGCAAAGAGTCAGACACGACTGAGCATGCATACACACCAGTGTAAAATATACACTGGGGTCTGAAGACTTGGTGTGGAATAAAGAATGTAAAGTCATATTTTGTATATTCACTACATGTTGATGTTTTGGGTATATTGGGTTAAAGAATATATACTATTGGGCTTCCATTGTGGCTCACCTGGTAAAGAATCTGCCTGCAATGCGGGAGACCTGGGTTCGATCACTGGGTTGCGAAGATCCCCTGGAAAAGGGAAAGGCTACCTACCCACTCCAGTATTCTGGCCTGGAGAATTTCATGGACTGTATATTGGGTTAAAGAATATATATGATTAAAATTAATACCTATTCCCCACCCCCCTTGTTTTTAACTTTAAAATAAGGCAACTAGAAGTTTTAAAATTCTACATGTGGCTAACATTATATTTGGGGGTGGGGGCAGTGCTGGTCTAGATGGCCAAACTGGAGGTCTGAACTTATCTGCTGCTCTGATTTTGATCAATAACAGGGCTCTGTGACCTTGGGAAAGCCCCAGGTCCATCAGACCCTCGAGTTCCCAATACCAAATTGAGGAGGTTGGGTTGGACCAGTGGATTTGGGTTACTGGAGGGAGACTGAGGGGGTGGGGCTTTCAAAACCACCAGATTCGACGACCTCAATTCCTTCCCACTGGTTGGGCAGAGGACTAGCTCACATCATCCCCACTTGAGGGCTGGGAGGCTGATGGAATTTACAAACGAGTCGCTGGGCACTCTGGGCAGCTGTGGACCACACAACAGAACCGTTCCTGATTTGCCTGAAGTTAAATGCCAAGATTTCTCAGTGGGAAGAGAACATATGTGCAGAGCATTTTTAAATTGAAAAGCACTTGCCTGCAGCCTCATTGCTAATAGAGTTAGCACCTACTGTCTCCTAAAGTCACGGAAGAGTCTGGAAGGAAGGTCTGCGGGATGAGGAATAAGTTCATAGAGAAGGAGGAGGGTTAAAATGGTCTTCCTTCTCCACCTTCTCCTCCTCCCCTGTTTGCTGGTGGGAAAGGGGGGATCCGAGAGAAGAAACTAGACCCTCCTGGGGACCCAGAGCCACAGGTGGAAGAGGCCTGGGTCCCTGAGGAGTGGTGCTCTGTGTGGACTCGTCTCTGGATTACGTCCAGATGCCCCTGAGGTTTCAGGGCCCATTTTTTTTATAGCAGCTGGTGCGTTGACCAGTAGACCATCCTTTGGGGTGCTGTGGCCGCCTGACCTAAAGGGCTGTTCTTCTGGGTCACAGGAACCTGGTAGCTGAGACCTCTGTGAAAATGTCCAGGCCTCCCCACACTGGCCTGCCCTCCCTGGTCAGGCTTCCCGGTGGCCTGGGGAGGAGGGAAGTTTCTGGGCTTCCTGCCCTCGATCCCCACGATCCAGCACACCCTTCTCAGTCTCCACCCTGCCCTTCTGCTCCACACGTGGATAATTAGAAGCTGCTGGTCAGGGGCTGGCTGGGAGCCAGGGCGTTTTCTCTACATGGGAAAACAGAAAATAAGGTTATAAGTTCCGAGCCATGGAAACCACCTAGAACTCCAATGATGTTTTGCCCAGCACGGCCCTTATGGAGTCTTGGAGGGACCACTGGCCTCCACTCGCCTGGATGACCATCTTCCCCTGGCCTTGAGGCTCTTCTCTTCCCCTGGGCCCTTGTTTGGCACCGGGAGGAAGGATGAGGATGCTGGAGGCTTTTGGACTTCCCAGCATGCAGGGGTCTGCAGGGACCTGGGGGTGGGGTGGGGAAGGAAGGGGCCTGGGCGGGGCCCAGGGTCACCAGGCCGGCGTAGCATGGCAGGGGGCTCCGTGGGGGTCTGTCCCTCCTGCCAGCACTCCAGCATCCAGTGGAGGCCTAACTGTCACCGAGGGAGACACGGCGGAATTGTTGAAGTTACAGGAAATGGGCCACATTGGTCGAAGTGGGGAGCATCACCCTGCAAGGCCCAGTGAGTCACCAGCCTGGGATCCTCAGTAGATGACAGAACTGGGATCTCTGGACTTTCTGCTCATGCTGCAGAGAAAACACAAACTCAGATGCCTTCTTTTCTAACCAGAAAAGAAGTACAGATTCAGGTAGCTGCTTGTACAAATTCAGGCGGCACTAATGCCTGTAAAATACAGCCTGCCTTCTCTGATTCTCAGCCCATTGTCAGATGGGCTCCATCTACCCCCTCTGGAGCCTGTGCAAGCTCTCTGACCACCTGAAGGGGACTGTCTGCAGGAATGAGGCCATGTGGCTTCTGGGCTAGGTCAGGAGAGAGGCAGCTTCTGCCTGGAGCCACCAGGTGAGCAGTCCAGCTTCCCTGAGGCCGCCGTATTGGAGGGAGGTCACGGTCACCTTCTAGCTTGGATGTCCAGGCCGGTCGACCCCTGCGTCTGGAACTTGGTCAGACAGTGAGGCTCTGTACCTTCCTGTTGTGTGCGGCATGGACACAGAACCATCTGTTCACTCACAACTTCATTTATACAACCTAGGATTCTTCAGTGCCTCTTCTTCGTCAAAATTTTTAGCCAGATGTATTTTGAAATCACTGCTTCCTTTGGGTTTTTTAGACATGCAATATGGTGCTTATACGGTGACTTATTATCACCTTCAGTGGATTCCATTTCTTTGCTATTTCTG